GAAAAGTGTTGAGTGTGTTTGGGTATTGCTTTTGCAAGCAATTCTTTGTGTCTATTCAAAATATATCTTATCAAAACACGAGAAATACGCTCTTTTGGTATTTCCGATAACATTCTGTTCAAATCTTTTATCTTATCAAAATTATGCAGATTTATGTTACGGATAATCATCATGTTGATAAAAGATGCCTTATGAAGATCGATTTGACGTTGTAGTCAAGATTCCTTATGAAAATTTGACATTATGGTCATAAAGYGTGTGTCAAGAAGTTGTCATAAAGCATGGTTAGTCAAGATGTTAGGATTGAAATGTCAGAATTGTTAGTCAAGATGTTAGGTTTGAAATGTCAGAATCGTTAGTCAAGATGTTAGGTTTGAAATGTCAGAATCGTTTTAGTCAAGACGTAAGGTTCGATATGTCGGATTCATTTTAATCAAGACGGATTCATCCCAACAACGACAAAAAAGGACGAATAATTCAGACAATTGATTTACTCCAACGAGCCGGTTTCAAATTGCATTATTATGAAGGCAACTGGAAGATGCCGGTTATCTACTCAACGGATTCAAGTATAAAAACCCATCGAAGCTCTTCAACAAAGACATCGAGAAAAATTTCTGAGTCTTTCATATCTTCTTAGAGTTTAGAATGTTATGTCAAACAAAAAATCCTCTTTTGTATTCTCAACTTCTCGTTCTATTTCAGAAGCATTCATGACATAAAATGCTGAACATGACCAAGGAGATTTAGAAGGTCTAATTAATTTCTTTTGAAGTAGATCTTGAATTTCTGTTTTACATTGTTCTTGTAATTCGGAAGACATATGAATAGATCTTGATCTAGATGAACTATTTTTCTCTTCAAATTCTTTAATATATGGTAATTTGACTATATGTTGTTTTCTGTTCCAAAARGCATTTGGAATATTTGAACAAACATTATTTTCGAATTTTTCTTTTATTCCTTTTATTTTACTTTGAATAAATGGACTTGATAAATTCTTAGAAATTCTTAAGCTGTTTATTTCTTCGTTTAAGAATTTTACTTGATTAATTTTATTATTTAAATTATTTAATTCACTATAAACAATTGGACTAGCAAATTTGAAAAATATTTCTTTATCTAATACTTTGGT